TGGTGTTTTCCTGATTCTCCAGTTCTAACCACACTTTTCTGACATCTGATTGCTCCAGTGGTGTCGAGCCACTTCCAGTTTAAACCCCCTCCCCGCTTGAAAGCTTCCCAAGGTTTCCACTTTTCGCCCGCCATTTTTAGTGCATTGGCGGTGTGCACATAGGCGGAGCTCTGCCACCGCGTTTAGAAAACCGACATTTAAACGGTCATTTGTTTTAGTGTTTAGATGAGTTCGGGATCTCACGGAGGCCATTTTCAGGTCAAACATTTAAAGGGAAGTCTTTTGTTGGAGGGGTTGGATTAATTCGCCCTGGTGGTTCTGCGCATGCACCATGATAGTTCCCCCCCCTTCTACAGAAGGGTGCCTATGCGCATGCACAAACTGAGGAAAAATGAAAATAACCCACCGACACACACTCCCGCATGTCGGTAGACACCGGGGAGAGACATGACTGCGCGGTGAGGCGGGATAAGGGAGGTAAGTGTGATTGTGATTATCCAAATCAAATATAATCCAGTTAGAACTGGAGCAGTTTAACCCACTCTCAGCATGCTGTCTGACCGCACCCTTAGAGTACCATCATAACTAGGCCTACTCTGAAGGATACTCAGGCTTATTCAATAGGGCTTACTCTTTAATAAGTATGTTTAGCATTACAGCCTGAATGTAGGCACCTCCATTTCTCTGAATGGTGATCATTACTATCTTTGATAGTACTAATTGGGTGCAGTCAGATGGTGTGCTGAGAGCAGGTTAAACTGCTCCGGTTCTGACCGGATTAAATTTGATCTGGATAATTGCAATCACACTTACCTCCCTTATCCCACCTCACCATGCAGTCACGTTGCTCCCCAGTGTGCATTGGCAGGTTTTTTTTTAAAAAAATCTCAGTTTGCACATGCACATAGGCACTCATCCATAGAATGGGGGGAAACTATCATGGCGCATGCGCAGATATCAATCCAACCCCTCCAACAAAAGACTTCCCTTTAAATGTTTGACCCAAAAATGGACTCTGTGAGATCCCAAATTCATCTAAACGCTAAAACAAGTGACCATTTAAATGTTAGTTTTCTAAACGCGGTGGCGGAGCTCCGCCTATGTGCACACCACCAATGCTAAAAAAAATGGCGGGTGAAAAGCGGAAGCCTCGGGCAGCTTTCGAGCGGGGAGGGGGTTCAAACCAGAAGTGGCTTGACACTGGAGAAGCGATCACACAGAGGGAAAATGTGGCTTTAAATGGGAGATCTGAGAAAACACCACTTTGGGACCTGGTAACAAAATACTCCGGGTTAAAGGGGGTTTTGAGCTGTAAACCAACAGCCGGGGACGGGAGGCAGATGTTGACTGTGTGATCGCGCAGATAAAATCTGTAGCTGAACCGTCACGACACCAGATCAAACGGCACGTCTGAACACACCCATTATGTATTTACTGGGTGAGACTTTTAAACATAGCTGCATGCATTCAGGCTGTTCTCTGCATTACTGCTAGCACTGAAGACTTTCTCAGTTGTATTATCAATAATGCCCTATGGTTCAGTGACAATATTTCAGTTTGCTTCATTACTCAGTTAATTAGGTAGCATTCAGCAAATAACTCTCCATGCTGACACACAGAAACTCACATTTCAAATTCATGGCAAATCCAGATAGCCATTTTTAAATAGCTCTTCCTCAAGATGAATGTTTGCTTGATATAAGTGAGCCATCTGCTGGTTGATACAACTCTTTTCATTCCTACTCACTTCAGATTTCCCCCTTTCCTTACACGTCCTAAAAATCAATTGCAATTTTAAGATCCACAGCACAACAAATTACCAAATGGTGAAATAAGATGACACTTGAATCATCATTTTGACATTTCTTTCTGTAGTTTGGTGCTATGGGGTATCAGGCTCATTCACAAACATGGCTATGCCTTGTATTTATGTGGATTGCAGATTGGTTTGTTTGTGGATTGTAGAGCATGTACAAACCAATGTTTGCTGCTTCAGTGTATAACCTCAAGTCTTACTCAGGAAGCACTAAGCCACGATACGTCATAATTTCGGAAAACACGAAGCTACTTTACACTGAGTCAGACCGTTAGTCTATCAAAGTCAGATTTGTTTATTCTAACTGGCAGCAGGTCTCCAAGGGGCTCAAGTGTTGTTGGGTTTTTTTGCATTACCTATTATTTGATCCTTCTGATTGGAGATACTGTGGACTCAGCATGGGGATCTTCTGCATAACAAAGTAGATGTTCTGCTACTGAGGCACAGTCCCCTCTCTAAGCCAATGGTTTGGTTCAGAGACAACAGCAAGATCTAGTTTACCAAGTACAGGCAATTTATAAACTATTTTTGTGGTGGAAAAGTTGCACCCTGTGACTTTCCCCTTCACTATATATGTGGAAAAAATAATCTTCTGTCATGTTACTCTAATACAAGTAATGTGATTAACTAATCAAAATGTAATGTATGCCAAATGATTATACATTCTGACTGTTCTCTATTTTTGCCCTGAAAAATGCTCCTGAATTATGTCTGGTTAGTGAAAATGATTCCTTAGATACCAAACAAAACAATATTACTACAGATAAGCAAGTTGTTCTAGAAATAAAATACTGAGAGTGCTTCCAAAGATCCGAAGATTCATATATTGCACAGACCATGCAGTTATGGGGGGGTGGGAATCTTTATTTTTAATAAGAGAGTGCCATCTGGTGGAGAAACTATTAGGCTTTTCATGTTGGAAAAAAATTAAGGTGGTCTGTGTCTTTCAAAACTAAACGTCAGAGAGAGAAAGAGTATTGAAGTTATATCACAGTGTTAAAACAATATTTGTTAGCAACATAAAATGATACGACGTGCAGATATGAAAATAAGCGTATTCAGAAGTGGGATACGTTCAAAATATTTTGGCATTTTCATGATTTTTGGAGTAACTATTGCAATATAGACATTACAGTAACAATAACTACTATAAGGACAACACAATTTGATCATTTTAAAACTGTAAATGGTTTTTTTGAGAAATTCATGAAAAGCATACATGCCAAACAGTTTTATTGATGGTTTCAAGTGAAAGGAAACAAAAGTGCTATACCTATTTGAAATGAGCTTGCCATTTCATTTTTCCTAGAATTAGTTTTCATGCCTGCTGTGAATTTACTATATTAGTGATTTCTAAGGAAGAAAAAAATAGTTGCAAACTGCACTGCAATAACATCCCTTATAGCTTTTATTTTGGATAAGCGCCTAAGAATCTGTTCTGACATACATGAATCAAGAATGAAATAACTAATTTTTTTTCAGCCTCTGGTGTTGTTCACCAGAACTACAGAATCTCTGGTCCATGCTTGAAAATTTTACACTGGGCCATAGCAAGATACTGAAGTGATATGGCACCTGTGCAAAAAATGTAAGTAAATAACAGGTGAAAAAGAACTAATCACATTTTACGGCTTTATGCTGCTCTACCTGAAACATTGTACTAAAACTACCAATATGTATGCAGGACATACAGACCACTTCTTGTATATTTAGCAAGTGTCCCCTTGTATATGCATGAAACTTAAAAAAAAATGCTATGGACTAGAATGGCCTTTGGATCTAAGGCACAAGTATTAGAACCAGATGGCAGTGCTGAAATATTGTCATTGAGAAAAAGCCAAATGCCAGGAAAGAACTTGGTTTACTGTTCCTTTCATTTGGCCTTCTGAAGTTTAACCTTATGTGCACATGACGCAATAGGAGACCTTGGATTCAGAAGTATTACTGGAGACCCACCAATAAGTACAGGAGCTGTTTATCCAAGGCACGTGCATATTTGTTCTTTGCCCTGGGTCTCTCTACAAGAGGCCTATCTTAAATGGGGTGGGAGAGACAGGAAATGTGCAGAACTGACAGTTGAAATAGTGCACATCTCAAAAGGGCTACATATAAAGAATGAAATGGATTAGCTGTACTGCTGAAGTTTACTTGGGATTATAAAAGGGGCTGATTGGCAGCACCTACACAAATGTGCCTGTTTAAGTGATTTAGAAGGAATACAACTTCCCAGAAATACATATGCACAACAGATCTTAGTATTATTGTGAATTGTGAAAGAACGGTGCAAGCTATACAGAAGCTCGTTCTTAAAACCAAACCACATTCTTAAAGATGTTCAGAAAGTGCCCTTTCTGTAGCTAGAGACCTTTAAATCACCTTGTTGGTGCTAGTGTTTCATGTGATCTTCTGTTTGTCTGTAAATGAAGCAGTAAGGAAAAATAAATCTTTCTCGGTCAAAATAAACTCAGAATCATCATTGCCCTTCAAAGGTGTAAAATGAGAACACATTCAGATGTGACCCACAGGATCTTTCTCCTTTCATATGTTGGTGTTTCTAGTGTTTTTTTTTAATGGTAAATGGTGATAACTGACATTCATTTGAATATAAGATATATAGCATACAAAAATCCACTTGTTCCAACATCAAATCAGTACCTATCCCATGACTTGCTGCTCTGTGTGAGAGCCCATTCAGGGTCTTGCAGCAGGTGGTTGTCTAGAAAAGAGCCCGGTTACTTGACCCTACTATTTAACCCACCACAATGAAAGAGAAGGCTGGATCCTGTGTAAAGGGACTTGCACTCTCCCTCCCTCCCCTTTTAAACTTGTTCCTCAAGTCCTTGGAACAGGCGGGTGTGGGAAGAAGAGGCTCTGGCAGGGGCAGACATCTGCTCGGGTGGAAGGGAGTGAAGGAAAATCTTGCCCTCCCTCTCCTCCTCTGAGTCTCCTTTCCTTGGGGCTCTGAGCAACCGCAACAGGCACCTCCTACGTGGAAAACCTGACCAGCTGGAAAAAGGGATAAGAAGCTGGAGAAATGGAGCGCGACTCGGCTGCTTTCTTGGCCAGTTCGGGTTGCAGGAGCAGCTCCATGCGTGTTGTGCGCCGAGCTCCAGAGCAGGTATCTCTCTCGCTCGCTCTCCCCGCCCGGGCTCGTCTCCCCTCCCGTCCGACGGAGGGTGTGGCGCCTCTCAAGGCTGGAGGCAGGCACACTGCAGCCGTAGCCGCCGCCACGAGTTACGCACTCCGAGAACGCAAAGCTTGTCCAGGGGGTCCCCGCCTACCAGAAGGGGGGCCGTGGGTCCCCGCAGGACTACGATAAAAGGACGCGCGGGCTATCCCGGCTCTCGCATTCAGGCCGAACAGCCGAGGCGCTCGCTTTGCAGAAGCTGGGCAACTGGTGCTTCTCCTCTGCACATTTGCATTGGGGCGCCTCAGCAGCCGAGGGCTCCGTCCTCTCAGCGAGAACCGTGCTCAGGCGCTGCCGCCCTACGAGGTGCCGCGGGAGCCTTAGCCTCGCGGAGTAGGTGTTCGTGCCGTCTTCCCTCTCGGACGGAGAGCGAGTGCAGCATGCAAGGGGCGGCAGCACGCCTGGCGTTGCGAGCCTTGCTCTTCTGCCTGGCGGCTCGGGGCAGCCCGCTGACAGAGGAAGAGCTGGTGGTGCCTGTGTGGCTGGACTCCACCGGGCAGCAGCCGGCTGAGGAGCGGCTCTACCGCCTAGACGCCTTTGGCCAGCGCTTCAGCTTGGAACTGCAACCCGATAGCAGCTTTTTGGCGCCGGACTTGACGCTGCAGTACGTGGGCAGCCGCCCCCAATCAGGGGAGGAGGCAGAGGAGCCCGAGCAGCCCGGAGACGCCGACTTGTCCACTTGCTTCTACGCCGGTACTGTCAACGGAGATCCAGTCTCTGCCGCCGCGCTCAGCCTCTGCGGAGGGATCCGCGGCGCTTTTTATTTGCGCGGAGTCGAGTACCTCATCCAGCCTGCTAATGTCTCGCTCCTACAAGGAGAAACGAAGCTCCAGCTCCACGTCTTGCGACGCCGGCTCCAGAGGAATCTCCACCAGGGCGGCGGCACTAAGTGTGGGGTGACGGACAGCAGCTCCCCCTTGTTCGTAGACGTTCAGCAGCCGCAACACGTGTTGCGCGCAGGTACGGATCCCCGATCCCGCCAGAAGCGCTTTGGCTTCTCTGTGCTGCCCTTATCTGGCAAGTAAGGAGTTCAGCTTCAGAACGTCAGCGGGGCGCTGTGTGGTGCGCATGCGCCCCACCGAACACTTTTTTTTTTAAGGCCAGAAGTAGTATGAAGGCTCTTTTTGATTTCTTGCAGTTGGCCGCTGTAAAAGGTGCCATTCCCCAAAAAGAAATCTCACAATCAAAGCTAATTTCTGTGACTTGCGGTTTACATCGGGGTGTCTCCCTTAAAAAACAAACCAAAGCCAGAAATTAACCTTTGGCAAGCAGCAGTTGTCTCGATAATAGTTTCCAAAAGGGCCTTTTGGTTTTTGATCCTAAGTACATTCATTTGGAAGTAAGTTTTGCTGGTTGCAATGAACACTATTTCCAAAATAATTTAAAGCACTCTGCCTCTAATGGGGAGATGTTAATGGATTACCCTGGAGTAAGAGGAGGAGGAAGAGATTGGGTTTATACCCCGCCCTTCACTACCAAAGGAGTCTCAGAGTGGCTTACAAACTCCTTTCCCTTCCCCTCCCCACAACAGACACCCTGTGAGGTAGGTGGGGCTGAGAGACCTCTGACAGAAACTGCTCTTTTTCAAGAACAGCTGTGCCAGAACTATGGCTTGCCCAAGGTCATCCAACCAGGTGCAAGTTGAGGAGTGGGGAATCAAACCCAGTTCTCTCAGATTAGTCCGCACACTTAACCACTACACCAAACTGGCTCTCTATTGTGTGAAGTGTAGCCATTGCCTCTCAGAAAAGAGTTTTCAAGATTCCTGATGTAATTCTATGCCCATTTGCACAACAGTAGCCCAAGTAGGTTGTTAAAGCAGTGGTACAGTACAGGAAGAAGGAACTCAAGAAAAGTCATATGTATCAAAAGTGCCTGTATGACTTTTCTGAGCCTGTGTATCCCAGCCACGGGTATCTTCCACCTCTTGTGGTACAATAAGTGGTTTGAAGTTCATGTAGTAAAGAAAATACCCCCCCCCCAAAAAAAAACACCTAAGGGTGTCTAGTGGATCAAGATGGCAGGTGGTGAGATGCTAAAAACACAATGCTCAAATCTCTTACATCAGAATAGTGTGATAAAAGTCTATGAGAATGCTGTGGGAAAATTTGAGGAGGGCACCTTAAGTGAAAGCCATTTCCATTAAAATTAATTGAATGGATGGTCTGAATCTATGCATGTTTGTAAATTGTATTGAATTTAATAGGGTCCTGTTCTTGGGTAAATACACATAGGATTTCAGCCTTAATGCAATACAGTGTTCAGATCAAGATAGATGTGCAAGTTCAGTGACAGTTGTGCTGCAGTAGAACAAATTTTTAGTCCTGTGGCAACTTTTAGATCAACAAAAGTTTAAAGGTATGAGCTTTCCTGTGCATGCACACTTCCTCAGATACACTGAAATGGTAATTAACAGTTAACAGATGCCTCTGCATAGCTGTGCTGCAATCCTAGACACTAGGGAGTTGGTGCTGTTAAACCCAGTGGAACATGCATCTGAGTAAACGTCCTTAGAATTGCTTATTTGGTGTCTAAAATGCAATGTGATTTGCTTTCTTTTTAACAGTCAGGCCTTGGACCTAAGACTCGGATTGCAATCTTCATGCATGCTTACTAGGAAAGTTCTGCAGATGGGAGTGGAACATGCACACTCTCTAAATCTAATTATGTTGAAATGCATGTCTGATGAAATTATAGATTGGCTGTCTAATACTAGATACCTTTACTAGACCTATTAATGTAGGTTTTAGTGGGACACTCCAAGTCCTACTAAATGTCCATAAGATGCTAACTAGCAATCGGAACCATTGCATGGTTATTCAGAAGTGTTGCTTACTCCCTAATAAGTGTGTCTGCATTCTTGGTCTTTAAATTATGAATGGTGACCTGGGTGCAGTGAATGAAACAGTGTTTCCAGCCACACTGACAGTGCAATCCTAAGCAGTGTTACTCCTTTGTATGGCTGGTAGTTTCAGTACAAGGGCGCAACTCTGTTTAGGATTGCAGTCTGACACTCCCAGGTTTTCTGAAACTTAAAAAAATGTCCAAAAATAAATGTTTGTATAAGTAGCCATTATTTAAAAATACTGAGTAGAAACACATGAATAACTATTGCTGCTTCCACTAATGTTTCCACAAATGTTTCACTGGCAGTCAGTAGTCACTCTGGGTCACTTTATATCTCACTACATGCGGTTAATTTTTTTTTAAAAACAGATATTTATTGATAGGAAAGTATCCCAAATCCTGATAATTACTGTGCAGTATGATTGTTCATAGAAAAGAATATCCATAGTCATACCATGAACACAGGTGTACTGAAGGAGAAGGAAGTTCCAGTGCAAGAAGGGCTGTGAATGAATGCTGGTGACTATGACTCATTCAGCAAATGAAAAGGTGGAGGGAAAGGCAGGGGAGTAAAACAAGGACACATTATCTGAGGAAGAGAAGGTGCTGCCATGAGGTCATGGGAACAACTGGGTCACAGACACAACCAGTTGCTTGAAAATCATACATATAATTTGTTTTCAGGAAACCCCACTCCCACATGGCCCCTAAAGTAAGGTTATTTTTTCCCCAGGTAGCAGGCTTGGTGCTCTGATTACACCAAGGAGAACAGAACTCCTGTCTGTCTGTAACACACTAACTCTTTGCTGTAGGAAGGTGGACTTCAGTGAAGGGAAGCAGTACTTCTCCAGGAGTTAGAGAAGGAGAGACCTACACAGGGAAGATAATTCCTTGTTTCCTTACCATGCTAGACAAGGTTCAGTCAGAGTTGTGCCCACTGACATAATCAGGAAAATGAACCTCCTCTGCCCAGGGAATTCTGTTCCCAAATCAAACATGTCTGCTCTCATAATCATAAAGATGTACCAGTTCTAGGAATAGCAGGGAATACCCCATTCCTTGTGTAGAATGACACCCTCAAGGGCATTGTGGATATATGTGACATACACAGATCCATGCCATCAGAGGAAATATTTTATAACTAGGAGTAAGGTCCGTTGTGGGAAGAAATACAACGAGCTCTAGAAGGAAGCTCCATGTGAGTGTCCCAGCTGTGGCTGGTGGGGCGGTAGAGGGAAGGGAAAAATAGAGGGAGGAAAGCCATGTTTATTTCCTTCTGCTTAGCTATAAGACAGGGCTGTCTCAAGTCATTTTGCTGCCCCAAGTGGGTAGTATGGGAGGACAGCCACATGGTAACAGGAATGGTTCCCTCCACCCTATGTTGATTTGGGACTATGCAGTGGCAGCTAAGGTAAAAAAACCACCTCCTCCTGTGCCATGTCTTCTGGGTTCCAAGGGTCTGGAAAGCGGTTCCATAGCCAGTTACAGGGTTGCCAACTCTGGGTTAAGAAATACCTGTAGCTTTGAGGGGTAGAGCCTGGGGAGGGCAGGGTTTGAGGGACCTCAGCAGGGTATAATTCCATAGAGTCCATTGCCCAAAGCAGCCATTCTCTCCAGGAGATCTCCAGGTGCTGCCTGGAGGCTGGCAATACTAAGGGGAGTGCCAGACCTGTAGATTTGAGGGGTAGAGCCTGTGGAGGGCAGGGTTTGAGAGTCCACTGCCCAAAGCAGCCATTATAATGGCTGGGAAATTTCTGTAGGAGAAATGATGTGCTGTGGCTGGGGAACACGGTGATTTCTGGAAGATCTCCAGGTCCCACAGGGAGATTGGCAACTCCAGTGACCATTTAAGGGAAAATTGGGATATGTATTTTACCTCAGGACACATTCAATGACTCCCAACAGCAACAACAAACTATTTAGAATGTTAGAGGCAAAGGCCAATCAGGCCGCACATGCAAATGACCTCTGTGTTCTGACTGGCTATTGGGGGGAGAGGAACAGCAAACTGTTTAGAATATTGGAGGTGCGACTCAGGCAATGCAGCCAGTGGATAGGGACAGCTTCTGAGTGACAGACCAGGGAGCCAACTGATCTGGGAGCGTGTTGAATGTTCAGGAGAGTCCATGACCAAAACAGAATTATTATATAGAGAAATAAGCAATCTGAGAGTTGCAGAGTTCGCAACTGAGACTATGTTAAACACTGTTGAGGTTGCAAAAGACAGAACAGGAAAAAAAACCCACCAAAATGCTGCTGAGCTCCCATTTGAAGCTTTTTTATTACTAATAATGATGTTGCCTGTTTACTAATAACTTAAATGCCATCGGTAATATTATTTGTTTGGTAATATGGTAACGCTCAAAACTGTTACAGTAAAGAAATTCAAGATTGGCTATTAGTAAGTCTTTAATATTTTTAATGTACAGGACATGGAAATACAAGGAAAAAAAGGTTTGTGTCAAGCCCTCGCTATGTGGAAACCTTACTGGTAGCAGACCAGTCTATGGCAGAGTTTCATGGCAGTGGACTGAAGCACTATCTCCTGACACTCATGTCTGTGGCAGCCAAGTTGTACAAGCACCCTAGCATCCGGAACTCCATCAGCCTGGTGGTGGTGAAAATAATGGTCATCTATGATGAGCAGAAAGGACCTGATATATCTTCAAATGCTGCCCTCACCTTACGAAATTTCTGCAGCTGGCAAAAGCAGCATAATTCTCCCAGTGACCGGCATGCTGAGCATTATGACACTGCAATTCTTTTCACCAGACAGGTAAGGGACAAGAAGAAGCAAGGGCTGCATTTTGCAGATTCCAGAAAATGCACTCTTAATTTTTGCTGCAGCTGTGGTAAAAAATAATTTATCTGCAGTTCTGCATAAATTCTTGCTAAGGTGCAGACTTTGAGAGGCATGTGTGTGTGATGCAACCGTTTTTCCTCTTGTGAGGTCACTTTTTGTAGTTGCCATTATGTGGAAACTGTAAAAAGTATCTCAGCATACCTACTACTGATAGTTTGATTGTTGAGCCTTGTATGGTTCATGGTCAAGAGACCGCCAAATTCAAACTGATCTTCATAAGAAGTTCCAGGAGGATCTCCATTGCAGCACAATTAAAGTCAACTGCAGGTGAAGAAAATTAATAAGAGAGTATGTAGACCTGATGTATGTGTAACTTAAAATGATTCCTATACAAAGCTTTTGTATGGACATTGTGTTACTCTATATACATAGTATGCAGCCTGACTGTAATAAGTTGCCTACCAAAGAAAAATTATTCCTTTTGTGCCTTAGGGACCAACAAGATTTTTTTGGGGTGAATGTGAAATACTTAGTCCTGTTGGGAAATGGTATCCCATCATCGAAAAACTCACTTTTGATGATTTTGACTGGAAAACTATTTACAATGCGAAGTATAAGTTGTTGCTATTGGGTTAATGTTTCTATGACCTTTATGGCTTTGTTCCGTGGAACCTCTCTTTGATTGTATATTTGATTGCATTGGTAGGATAAGTGGATTTCTGTAACTTTTGCTGTTTGTTGTTATACTTTATGGTTGAATACGAATAAAATGTTCTGGTTAAAAAAAAAAAAAAAACCAAGATTTTTTGGGGGTGTGAGCTTTTGAGAGTCATACCTCCCAAATCTTGTTGGTCTCTAAGGTGCTACTGGACTCGAATCAAGCCCTTCTACTGAAGACCAACTGGGTTACCCTCTGAAACTGTTCCTTTGTGTAAGTTGTTGTGTATCTTCCAGAGAGGGAGGGAGAGAATTATCTTTACTCCTATTCAAATACTGAGCATTAGTGCTCATCCATAAGGAAAGGCACACTGCCAAAGTAATATATTTTTTCTTCTGAGGTTAAGATCTGACATAATGAAAATAACTCCCCCCCCCTTTTCAGGATCTCTGCGGTGCCAAGACATGTGATACTCTTGGGATGGCTGACGTGGGAACAGTTTGTGATCCAAACCGCAGTTGCTCTGTCATAGAAGATGATGGCTTGCAGGCTGCCTTTACAACCACTCATGAGCTGGGTAAGTAAGATCCAGAGGACATCTGTGCAAGCCAGTTCATTTTGAAAACATACCTGGCATATATTGGTATATAAATAAGGAAATAAATGTTTGAACAAACATGGATTTTGCCAGTTACTGTAGCCTAGTTTTTCTTGAGGGTGTGTATGGGTTCTACAGCTTCAAATCATATAGCTGTAAATCCCTTTGAAATCAAAGCAGTGCACCCATAGAAGGGGGAGTAGTCTTAGTCGCGGGTACAGTCTTCTAAGCAACGAGTGCTCTTTGAAATTCCTGCTCATCTGTTTGGCTTGTGAGAAAACTAAGGTTCAGTAAGTACTGGAAGTTCAAATTGCACTTTGGCTGCAGAGGCAAAAAAATTTAAATAGTAAATAAACCAAGAGACAAATTTAGGTTTTAATTCTGTTCATATTTTGATAACTGCTGTTACTAGTATTGACAGCAGGCCTGGAGAAAAAATGTCCTCTCCCTTTAAGAGAGGCTTAATCATTGGAAATGGGCAGGTGAAGCTTTTCAGAGACATGGAAGTAACATCCCATTTATATTGTATTAAGAAGACAGGGCATTTTTTTTCATCGAGGCAGCTGGCAACCTTAGCTGTTATCAGGCTGTTCTTTCTACCCTGTCATCAAATTTGAAAATTTGTTTCAGTCATTGTGTCTGAGTGAAATATGTATCTCAACAAATTTTCCCAGAATATTAGTATTTTGCTGTAGCAATACCTGCATCAGTACAAATATCTGTGAATGTGTGCAATAAATGATGTGAGTAGAGGTGTACAGCAGACTTATGGCATCTTCCTGCCTTTGTTTTTAAAGGCCATGTATTTAATATGCCCCATGATGATGCAAAACAGTGTGCCAGTATTAACGGCATAAGCAGGGATTACCACATGATGGCATCTATGCTTTCCAATTTGGATCGAAGTCAGCCTTGGTCTCCATGCAGTGCTTACATGATTACTACATTTTTGGACAATGGTCATGGTAAGATGTACTTTGTTTTCATCTTTGTAAACATTTAACTCTTTGTTTTCCACCTTACTAAAAATAACTACATAGCCCTTCATGATGGGAAATCCTAGCATAAAGTTGTGTTGTGAAGTATCCTTCAGTTCTGCTGACTGCACGGGCGCTGCTTATTCGTGGGCAGCTCTTGCATGGCTGGGAGAATGTTTGTTTGAATGACCTGACAATGGCAGCTGGGTCTGTTCATGTGGGCCTTTCCTACCAAACTGCCATCATTTGTCATCTTATTGATTCACTGGGAAGTACCAGACAACCAGCCTCAATCTGCATGTCTCAGTAATTTTAAATAGTGTTTCAGTCATATATGCGAGCGCATGGATGTGTAATTCACATAATACAGAGAATATTTTCTAGCACTTTCCTTGGCCTACATTTGTATCAAACTACAGTTAGCCAGATAGATAAATGGAGTGTCCTATATCAGTCTGCCCCTGAATGCAAGTTGCAGAGTATAAAACACAGGATAGAACTGATACATTCATACCCCTCTTTCTGACAGCATTTGGGTGGTAACAAAATGCTAGACTAGATAGACCTTTTCTTATGTCCATACAGTAACATCTCACAGAGTAACACTTAAATAGACTGATAGTAAACATGCATAGGATCAGTCCCAGAGATTTCACTGGTGTTCTTCTGGCCTAAAACATATATCTGTTTTCATTCATTTTAATACCGCTTCTACAGAGCCAAGTTTTTAGCATTGTGCCAGTAATTTTCTCAGTAGCCTTCTGAGGCTAGTGACTGCTGTAGTCATTTTGCTCAGTGCATGTCAGGTAGTGAGAGAACTTGTCCAAGCTACTCAATAAGTGTGTTGATGAACAGGCAGGATCCCAGATCCAAGTCTCATGTTTTGTCTGCTGGTCTCTACTATACAGTATACAGTACTTATTTCCCATCTGGGTCCTGTCAAGCAGATACACACAAAGAGGTCTTGGATAAAGTTCAGATCAGGGCTACTGTGCATGAGAAGAGGGGCTTTAACCTTCCCCCCCACACCTGAAATGGCCATTTCCAGTTGGGAAAATGGTGCAGGGGTGGGGGTTAGGCCTCCTCTCCATATTTGCAACAGTCATGATTTGACTTGCCTCCTTAGCTCCTGGGAATGCTTAATTTTATGTAGTAACTCCCTGCACACGTCTGTTTGAAGGGACCCCGGGACCCCAAAACAATATATCCCGCAGTTTAATCTTGTTTAAAGGAAATAAAATCTAATTTCTTACCAGAGTTTCCTTGTATCTTTTTTCAGGTGAGTGTTTGCTGGACAAACCTCACAAGCCTATACAGCTCCCTTCTGACCTACCTGGAACAGTATATGATGCCAATAGGCAGTGCCAGTTCACCTTTGGAGAGGAGTCAAAACATTGTCCTGATGCAGCCAGCACATGTACAACCTTGTGGTGTACTGGAACCTCCGGAGGATTGCTTGTATGCCAAACCAAACATTTTCCTTGGGCAGATGGTACAAGCTGTGGAGAGGGGAAGTGGTGTGTGAACGGAAAGTGTGTAGACAAGAAGCATTATGATGTAAGTATTTTTCTGTAGTTGAGCATTTAATATTGCTGTATGCATAGTGGTTGTATAGACCCATAAAAGCTGAGAATTGTGACTCAGAAAACATGGGATATTCTGTCCAGTCACGTTTAATGTTTGTAAATCTAAATATCTGTAATTAACTCATCCCTCCCCCATGTAACCATGCATTTTCAAAATGTTTTAACATGCAAGCTTTGTCTTGTTTTTTCAAAATGTAGACTCCTGTCCATGGTGGCTGGGGACCATGGGGACAGTGGGGAGAGTGTTCAAGGACATGTGGCGGAGGAGTCCAGTATTCTGTGAGAGAGTGTGACCATCCAGTTCCAAAGAATGGCGGAAAATACTGTGAAGGGAAACGGGTGCAGTACAGATCTTGTAACATAGAAGACTGCCCAGACAGCAATGGTAAGTTGCAATTAATGTTTAAAATGGAATGTTGTAAAATAGAAAATTGGCTTCTAGTGCCCAGTAAATGTCTTTTTTTGTGTGCAGGCAAAACCTTCAGGGAGGAACAGTGTGAAACTCACAATGATATTTCCAAATCTCATTTTGGGAGTGGACCTGCAGTGGAATGGACACCCAAGTTTGCTGGCGTCTCGCCCAAAGACAGATGCAAGCTTGTTTGCCTTGCGAAAGGCACTGGCTATTTCTTTGTTCTTCAGCCAAAGGTAGGTGTGTGCTTGCTTATATAAACATTTTTGCGGCACTAAATGTTACTGCTTCTTGTGTTGATTAAAGAAGAAGGTTCTCATATGAAAATCAACACTTTATTCAAATGACTATTTTATTCATTTTCATATTACTTTTGTTCATTTTCTTCTCTATTTCTGTCTTTTCCCCCGGTGGGATCCAAAATGGCTTACATCATTCTTTATTTTATTCTACAATCCTGCCAGTGCAAACAAAGGTTACATACATAGTCATTCTGCTTTATGTTTCATTAAATTGTCTGATTTCCTAAGATCTAGCTTTTCTTGTGGTCCCAGACTCTGGGTCCTGGTAATGCCTAATTATTAAGCATTTATTTATTTCAGTATTTATATCCTGCTTTTCCTGTGGTCAAAGGCGACAGTGGTCTGTTTTGTTCTGTTTGAAGAGGTCCTCATTAAAAGTTTATCACATGTAAAGTGAGAGAATATTTTCACTAATAATGAAATATTAATTAGCCATATACTGATTGCCTAATTCTTTAAAGCAGTTAGGCTTCTGCAGACCCAAGTGCTTAAAGATTAGAGTCTATTTGTTGTCGTTACAAAATATAAATGGATAGGCATCAGTATATAGCGATACCTGTGCAGTAGTGTGCAACTAGCCCCTAGTAGATGGCGGCTACTGTATATTTTGACAGACCTGAACACTATATTTGAGAGGAATAGGGAGGGCCTGAATTCTGGCTGAGAATGAGATAGCAAAGGGAGACCTGATTCAGCCCTCCATTCTTGCTTCCATTTTTTAAAAAAAGGTGACTGTCACTGTCAAAGCTCAGAGGGCAGACCTTCTGTTTGGTGTTATACATGCAATCTTTGAGGCATAGGCAGGAACTTTGGATGCAGACTCCAGATGTAGGGATTTAGCTTTTAGAATCTGTTATATAGCAACCTTTTGCATACATGCCTCCCATGCTTCTATGTGTACCTTACCATCTGGACTGTTTCTATGCATGCATCATACTCAGTGTATGAAGAAAATCACATTTAAAAAAAACCTTGGTTGTGTTACCTGTGGCCACTGGCTAATGACGTGTTTTTAAATTATCGCTCTTGCATTCCTGAATCTTTGTTCTACTGCTGCTTGGACATAGGGGACTGCTATAAACTGGCAGGATGATATGAATTTGCACTCAAATTAAATTTCCTGTTGCTCAGCCAGGGAAATTGGTGGTAGGTGTTCACTAGCAACAGTGGCTGGGCCAGATGACCTGGTCACTTCTGTTATATGTTCATTATTCTGTTTTCATTTGTTTATTTGCTAGATTCTAAAAAGAATCCTCCCCCCCAAAGAAGAACTTTTGTGCTTAACCTTGTGTCCATTTACAATAAAATACTTCAACAGTGCAATCCTAAGCAGAATTACACTCTTTGCCCTTGGATTCTTCTCTGTTGAAGTATTTTACTGTAAGTGGACACAAAGTTAAGCACACTTCTTTATTTCTTTCAATGAGGTAGTTCAACATACTCTTAAATCATTGTGACATCATGCTCAGTATTCTTAATAACAGATAAACTCCTTCTAATTATGGCTTTCCTGGATATTTTTTTTTTTATTTAAAAAGGTGATAGATGGAACATTATGTAGCCCAGATACTACTTCAGTTTGTGTCCAAGGGCAATGTGTAAAAGCTGGATGTGATCGCATCATCGGCTCCAGTAAGAAGTTTGATAAATGTGGTGTCTGTGGAGGCAATGGTTCTACATGCAAGAAAGTATCAGGCATGCTTTCTAGTTCCAGGTATGTAACTATCATTTTCATTAGAATCATAGAGCAGGTATATTCAGCTGTTAATAAAAAGTGGCTTTAATTATATAGGAACTTGCAGTCTTAGAGCTTAAAAAAATACGAGTCATCTTAATTCTTGTAATTGATGTAATTCCTGACATAATAAGGAAATGCAGAACACTTACCTTCTGGCTTCTTCTTCCCCTGTAGCCGTGGTTACCATGATGTTCTTGTGATTCCTGCTGGGGCGACAAACATAGACATTAAACAACGGAATCACAGGGGCACAAGACAGGATGGTAGCTTCCTAGCTATTAAAGCTGCTGATGGCACCTATATTCTCAATGGTGACTACACACTATCAACATTAGAGCAAGACATCAGTCATAAAGGCAATGTTTTGAGGTACAGCGGCTCATCGGCCTCTTTGGAAAGAATACGCAGTTTCAATCCACTGAGTGAACCTTTAACAATACAAGTCCTTACTGTAGGTGAACTGCCACGTCCTAAAATAAAATACACATACTTTGTGAAGAAACCAGTACAGTCTGGTCCTGAGAAGCCTTCTAGTAAAAAGACTGAATCTTTCAATGCAATCAAGGAAACAATTTTATCTGAATGGGTTATCGAAGAATGGAGAGAATGTTCAAAGTCATGTGGAACTGGATGGCAGAGGAGATCTGTAGAATGCAGAGACCTCAGTGGACAGCCTTCAGCAGACTGTGCAAGAGAACTCAAGCCAATTGACATCCGGCCATGTGCAGACACTCCGTGCCCTCAGTGGCAGCTAGGAGACTGGTCACCATGTTCTAAGACATGTGGGAAAGGTTTCAAGAAAAGATCATTAAAATGTGTTTCATTTGATGGCATCACATTGTCACATGAAAGCTGTGACCTCGTAAAGAAACCTAAACATTTAATAGACTTTTGCAATGTTACAAACTGCAGCTAAACCATAACAGGCTGAGAAAGCTAATGGTGTAAGTTTCAGACCAAAGCACTGAAAAGGAGGGTGAAAGGTAGCAATTGTGTAATTTTCATTGCAAAATTCACCGTGGGGAATTTACTGAGATGGGGGCAGTGCAAATAATGTTGGATGGGGTGGATTCTATCAACTGCAAACCTGATAAAACAACTAATGTTGCTAGCTATTTCATCTTCAGCACTAAAGCCCTGAGGCATTACAATTTCCTTTTTTAAGTCTGTTACAAGTTAAACAAAACATAGGCAGTGGCCAAAGCAGGTTTAAACAAACATTTCAATGTTTTAGTGATTACATTTTTTTTTTCTTCCTGGAGTTGTGTTGTGGTACTGATAAAAATATTTTTTCCTCAAAGTTGGGAATGAGAATGACCATTTTTCTCTAAGCTTAATAATTGGTCAGGTCTTGCCTACCTCACAAAGAGCAAACAAAAAAAGAACAACCCTCAGTATTTGAAAAGAACTTTTGACTATATTGTTAATGGCTGCTATCATTTTACAGAATAGTTTTTTTTATAAACAGAAAGCCATATTATCTGCCTGTAAATAAGAACGTACAAAAATGGCTGTTAAATCTCTTGATGACTAGAATGTAGTGCAGTTTTAAAGTATTTTTTTTATTTTACTGAGGTAACATTTCCCCCTTGCAGTCAGCCTGCAGGACTGGAATCATAACAGTTTCAGCAATGCATGCCATTCTTATTGGTTTGGATAGGTCACACCCCATTTGCTCCAAAATATTTAAGTGAAATTAATTTTATCTTGGGAGTATATATTTGTCTTATGAGTATATTGTAATCAAGTTTCTAGGTGGAAATGTAGTCATATCATGCTGCCATTTGAGTTAAGGTAATGGTCTGACCTCTTTAAGATACAGTTTACTATATACAGGCCAACAATAGCACACTTGCTTGTGATCTGCTGCGAACAGATACAATTCCATCATGAACAGGAGGTCTTTAATGCATGGCACCTAATGTTTTTACACTGCTCAAATCACTTGTAAGACGGGGAAGACTAAGCTGAGGGATAGCAGGTCCATCCACAGCAATATGCCAATACATGTGTATTTAAAAGTTTGTGCCAGTCCATAGACTCTGAGAATATGGCTCTCCATATGTATACAGTAAATATAACTATAGATGATACATACTTTAAAAGTATTTATATTCCTTTCCTTCTGTGAAGGGTTGTAATTGGTAATAAATGCATATATTGAACCTATTTATTTTTATATTTCTTGTCTAATGTGATCTTCTAAGTTATCACTTTTTTTTAAAAAAAAGACATTTAACAAGGATAGAGTATTTATGCAATATAATATGATATTAGAAATAATAAACACTATGAATTTTGGAAACAGAGTGGAGGTTTTTCATTCATTCATGTGCATATTAAAAGAAAGCAATAGCCATTGTATAACATTGCGAAGGACACAGCAGTTGCAAAATGGTAACAAGTGGAGGATCAGCCCAAGACTTGGTGGAGCCTGTTTTTCCCCTCCCTCCTTCAGTGCACACACTTGGCATCACAGGCCATTATCTGGAACATGCAGTCACTTCCACATCTATTGTCATCCAGCCCTCCCTCTCACCTTGGTGTGAGTAACTGGAGCTCAATGACTCCTACAACACAAATTCTAATTGTATTGGCGTTCTTTGGATGTGGGGGATTCATAGGTTAAAAAAAACCACCATTAATGTCTTCTTGAAATGTAACTGCATGGATAGGAAGTCATTTATATAAGTGTGTATTCCGTAAATCTTACCACACCAGAGCTTACACTGTTGGAATGGAGCAGAGGAAGTCACCAGAGCTGTGTGGTGAGCTGTAACATGAATTACATGGTGAATGGAATAGCTTCTAAGTAGTTGCTTGTTAGTGACTAGTTTCAATCTGTCTTTAGCTGTTATTTTGCCAGCTGCTTCTGTATAACCAAAGATTTAAAAATGCAATGTGTCAGAAACCAAATATATAAATATCGGTTTACAGCATTTAATTAAATTAATCTTTTAATGATGCATTATTTCTCCTGCAGTCATATAATGTTACAACATGCAGAATTTATGACCAAATTACTTGTGCCTAATTTAAACACTTATAGCTGCACAGTGTATGTTTTCGGTGTGGGAATTCTTTGTATGGAATTCTTGTGAATATGGCCAATTACTGAAGCTTAAGAGCTAAACTAGATCCAAAGCTGTGATGGATAAAAAGTGAATCATCCATGTTTTTTTACATCAGCCGAGAAAATATGCCTGATGCAAGATTAATAAGGAAAGGGGACAAATACTAGACATAAAAGTCTCCCATGATAGTCCCTTTAGAGACCCTGCCTAGTTGGCCCCCAGTTACATCAGAAGAGATTACCCTAATGATTAAGCAGTTAAAGAATGGGAAGGCTCCTGGCAGTGACTTTATTCCTCCAGACCTTCTCAAGAGCAACACTGACTGGTGGTCACCGTTATTGGCCAGACTTTTTACTTATATTGACCACACTGCTCAGATTCCAACAGACTGGGGATTTGCAATTATTAATCCTATATATAAGAAAGGTATCAGGTCTGATCCTAGTAATTACCGACCGATTAGTCTTCTAAATACCATAGGTAAATTGTACTCGAGACATCTGCAAACTAAATTACATAACTGGCTTGAACATGATAATTATCTAAGCAAAAATCAGGCGGGCTTCACCCACGGTTGATCAACTCTTGATCACTGTCTTGTTCTAGACTATTTTATTCAAAAATATGTGAGAGTTGCCAAGAAATCTCTTTTTGTCGCCTTTGTGGATTTGAAGGCGGCCTTTGATTCTGTATCTCGGGGAAGACTTTGGGCAAAATTGAACTGCACAATCATAGATAAAAGACTTCTGCATCTGATGATTAAGGTTCATGAGAATATGCAACTACAAATCAGATGTAATGGTAAAGGAATGTTATCAAAATCTATTCCCTCTCGGAAGGGAGTAAGACAGGGTTGTTTACTTGCCCCCTCCTTGTTTAATATATATGTTAATTCCCTTATTCAGTCTCT